AGTCCTTGAGTATCTCACATACAGGGTCTGTTTCTCTTCCTTCTGCGAGTCGTCCTCTTATTCTCTCAAATGTCTTGTGCGTTCCCAGCTTACAAAAAAACTTAGTGTCTATTTCTTAATTATGCGAGACTAACTCAGTGTCTGTGGAATTTTTTGACTCTTATTTTTTGGTTAAGGATCGGGCGTCGGGCAAACCTCTAGTGCGAGGTCTGGTCGTGAATGATGTCTAAAGCATTGCTGCCCAGAAGTGTCAAGTCAATGCCACGTCCTTGGTTCCTAAGTGGCATCATCAATATGGTCATCCCAGCCACAAAGTTTTGTCGTCCATTCTCAGAAGTAATAACGTTATTTTTTATCGACATTCGGTTGAAACTTATTCGTGTACTTCTTGTCATGTAAATAAAAGCCACAAATTGCCGTTTTCATTTAATTCCATGTCTAGTACTAAACCATTAGAACTTATATATATCGACGTTTGGTGTTCGTCAATAGTTTCTGTGGATGGTTTCAAATACTACATTAATTTTGTAGACCACTACACAAAGTATGTCTGGTTATTTCCCTTGAAACTTAAGTCTGACGTTCATAGGGTATTTATTCAATTTAAAGTCATGGTCGAAAATTATTTTGGGTTCAGAATAATCTCTGTTTTTTCAGATAATGGTGGGGAATACACAAAGTTAATTCCAACCTTCAATAGTCTGGGCATTTCACACTTTACCTCGCCTCCCCACACCTCGGAACACAATGGTTCTGCGGAGAGGCGTCACAGACATGTTGTAGAAAGTGGTCTGGCGTTGTTGCACTTTGCGTCCATTCCATCCTCATATTGGTCATACGCCTTTCAAACGGCGGTATAATTAATCAATCGGATGCCAACTCCTATACTACACTACTCCTCACCATATAAAGTACTGTCCAACAAAGAGCCGAATTACAACAAAATTCAACCCTTCGGGTATCTGTGCTTTCCGTGGCTACTACCATATTTTCCAGGTAAGCTAAGCCCCAAGTCTATCTCGTGTGTCTTCCCGGGTTACTCTCTGAGTCAATCAGCCTACAAATGCCTTGACCCGGCTACTGGCCGTGTATATGTCTCGCGCCATGTCTCGTTCGTGCCTGATACGTTTCCGTTTCATAAACTGAGTCAAGTGTCGCAAGATGTTTCCACACACAATCAAAGTTTGTCTCCTGTCCTAGGACCACTCAGTTTTACATCTCTGTTGCCTGTAGTGTCTCCCTCTAGTCCAGAAAATACTACCTCCACTGCCGGCTCACTTACTCCCATGCCAAATTAGTACCACTCACCTGAGGATTCCACGTCCTCCACCATGCATCCTCTTTTAGGTACACCTCCAGCTTCTACTTCGGAGCCTGCAGCTACAACTTCAGAATCACTGGCCGCTACCTTGGAGCCTGCAGCTGCTGCTTCGGCATCACCAGTCACAGCAGCTTCGGCCTCAGCTTCTCTAACAGTGGCGTCTGAACCGGGTGTCTCTGCTGCAGAGCCAATGCACGCTGTGTCGGTGTCGGAGAGTAGCGCCCAAGTCCCGACCTCTCAGCCTCTTGCGGTGTCCCGGCCACGACGACAGAGGCGACCGAACTCCAAATACTTCAACGACAAATTTGTGAATGTGGCCAATGTTCATCCTATCAACTCGTCAATTGAGCCGCGGACGGTGTCTCAGGCGTTATAGAATGAGTTGTGGAAAGATGCCGTGACTGCCAAGTTCAATGCGTTGGTGAAGAACGGAACGTGGGACTTAGTGCCACGACCTAGTCGTGCTGTGGTTGGTTGCAAATGGGTCTTCCGGGTGAAACGCAAGCCGGATGGCTCGGTGGACAGGTTCAAGGCCTGGGTGGTGGCTAAAGGATTTTTGCAGCAGCCTGGTCGTGACTACTTCGAGACTTTTAGTCCGGTGGTCAAACCAGTGACCATTCGAGTTATTCTCACCCTTTCTTTGTCGCAGGGGTGGTTGCTCCGACAGTTGGACGTGAACAATGCCTTTTTAAATGGCATCCTGTTCGAGGAGGTTTATATGGACCAGCCAGCTGGTTTTGTTGATCACCAGGTGCCTGGTTATGTTTGCAAGCTCCGGAAGGCGATTTATGGTTTGAAACAAGCCCCGCGGGCTTGGTACCTGGAGATGTCTAAATTTCTTGTTGTGTCGGGGTTCAAGAAGTCCGTAGCTGATTCCTCTCTTTTTATTTACTGCTCGAATGATGTAATTGTATACTTTTTAGTCTACGTAGACGATATTATTCTGACAGGCAACAATGATGCGTTCATTAGTGTGTTTGTGGGTCGCCTTGCGCGTCGGTTTGCGCTTAAAGATTTGGGCCTGCTTCATCACTTTTTAGGTGTTAAAGTAGTTCCTACCACCAGAGGTCTGTTTCTATCACAGTCTCAGTATGTGATTGACGTTTTGGACCATTTTGGTATGACGGGGGCGAAAGAAGTGTCGACACCAATGAGTGCTTCGGTGGACTTGTGCACTACTTCACCGGTCTTCGATGCCACCACGTTTCGGAAAGCCATTGGCCGGTTGCAGTACTTGGCTTTTACCAGACCGGAGATTTCGTTTGCAGTCAACCGGCTGGCTCAATTTATGTCTTCGCCCACTGAGCTCCATTGGCAATCGGTGAAACGAGTACTTCGCTATTTAAAGGGTATGTTACATCATGGGTTGCATTTTCGCAGGGGTCGGTCCCTTTCCTTGGTGGCCTATTCAGACTCAGACTGAGGTGGCACTCGTGATGGGGGCCGCTCGACTACCGCCTATGTTGTTTATTTTGGTCCAAATGTTGTGTCTTGGAAGTCTGCTAAGCAACGCTCTGTGTCTCGGTCCTCTACGGAGGCAGAGTTTCGGGCTCTTGCTAATTCCGCTGCTGAAGTTATGTGGGTCCAAAGTCTGCTGTGTGAGCTAGGGGTTCGGTTACCGTCTTCTCCCGTTCTGGTTACTGACAATTTGAGTGCTTCCTACGTGTGTAAGAGCCTGGCTTTTCACTCGCGAATGAAGCATTTAGCTCTTGATTACTTTTTTGTCCGAGAACAGGTTACTTCTGGCTCGCTGCGAGTGTGCTACGTCAAGTCGTCTGACTAGGTTGCGGATCTTTTGACTAAGCCGCTTGGCAATCAGCTGTTTACTAAGTTCAGAACCAAGATTGGTCTCACCAATGGTGCCTCCATCTTGCGGGGGCGTGTTGAGACTTAGTTAGTGGCTGTTAATCTTTTGCCTAGTCTTCAGGGTTTTCTGTAACTAGTTTCCTGCTTCTGTGCTTTATTCTCTATTTAATCCCGTTCTTAGTAATTGAATAAACAAGTTCAGTTGTCACTCTCACATATGCAATATCCGATTTTCCTCCGGTATTGTTATGAACTTGCTTTTTAAATTTTTACAGGGTATTTAATATGTCCTGTGGTTATCGTTTTAGCTTTTTATATGGTGTAGATTTTAGCTTTTTTATATGGTGTAGATTTGTAGGTGGAGAAATGAGAATAATGGGGAGGGATGATATGGAGTTCCTCCTTTCCTATTGTTGTTGGATATACTTGCATCACAAAAATGAAGAGTGAAAGAATAGGATATCTCTCTGTTATGCCAATGATCTTGTGGTTTAGTGGCATCAAGTGATTCTCCTAAATGAGAGGTTATGGGTTTGAGGGCCCAAGGGGGGCGGTATGGCAAATTATTGTGTGAACCATGGTCCACATAGCTGTGTGAACCATGAATGCAATATACATTTTTAATATACTAAAAGTATATTATTTGTGTACTAAATTTACATTCTTTATTTATTTATTTTAGTTCTCTAATGTACTAAAATAACATAAATATTGTCACTATTGTGGCTCTCTTTGACATAAGGTCATAAGATCGAATTTCGGTGGTGGAGTATTGAGTTATTGATTCTTTGGATTGAAATAGATAAAGAAAATATAAAACATATATTACCTTATAATAGAGTCAATAGTACTAAAATAACATAAATATTGTCATTTCATATTGCAAAAAGTTTAGATTTTTACATATTGGGATTGAATGATAGGGTTTACACAATTTGAATGCTAACTTGCTATTCATTTGTTGGTTTTGAATTCATATTTTAGAAATTTAGTATTTAAGCAATATAATTTCAATTCAGATTTTGAGTTATTGTTTTTGTTTTTGTTTTTGTTTTTTTTTTTTGTTTATTTTTTAAATGCTCATGATTTCTTAAAAGGTAGTATTAAGAATCTAAGATCCTACCGAGATTTGAACATATGACCACCAATTTAGAATGGTAACCGGGATAACATCATACTATATGGTAGTTGGCAAGTTATTGCTCTTATTTCTATTTTACTTAACTACAATTACCCAGTCCACCCATTTAAGGATTGTGTAGTTTTAACTTATTTGCTCTTTAATTTGCATATGTTAGGGTTATCTAGATTATATCGGAGAGAGAGAGAATTAGTGATCTTCTGGTAGAGATTCTTGATAATATTTTGAAATTTTTTGCCAAGAAGATGCTAGAACTGTTGTATTGTCCACTAGATGGAGATAGACTTAAACGACTCAAGTACAAGTACATGTGGCCATTTGCTGGGTTTTATGTAATCAATAAAATTGTCATGTAGCACAATGGGCCTATTTGGAATTTTGAATTTCTTGATGATGATAAGGCACGTTCGGATATGGAGGATAGTAGTCCATTGTATGATGCTGAAAACTTGTAACATTCTGTTGCGCCTTACACCAGAGAGATTACATCTTTATTATATGTTGATCTATATCTATTAATCATTGCATATTTTCAAATATCATTTCACTTTGTTGATTTTGATCCTACCAAGTATAGTGAAATTTTCGGTTGATGATATTATGCTTGAGAACCTCTCATTTATATGAAAATTCTTTAATGACTAGTAATTGGCCTATCTATGGCAGGAATTTTTCTAACTATCAAATGCCTTAACATTGTTAGATTAACAAATTTACGCACAAAAAAAATAAAGCAGCATAATTGAAGTAATTTATTAACAAAAGCAAATATAGAAACATTCTTAATTGCCCACAATGCTTGCTGATTACAAATACCTCATGCTCAACTTAGAAAACATGTCAACTTCCAACACAATCTTTGCTTACATTTCTAAAAGCGTAAAACCATGGGTATCGAACCAATCATCACACATAGACGCATAGTAATTGCCCGCGTAGACAATTTGTGCGTTTGGAGATGCACGAGGGAAGCATTCCAACTTCCTTTGGATTTTTCTCACCTCGGAGTCATTCATATTATGCCAAGACTGCACAATAACAACTCTCTTTAGCACAGGGGATTTTGAGAGCAACATTTTTATAAAAAGCATTGCGAGTGGGAATTCACTGAATGATTCAATCTTGATTGTGTTAAGCATCTTCAGCTCCTGAATAACAAAGCCACCGTCTGGATCCTCCAAAAGCCTTGAAGTAGCTTCTTGGTCATCCTTCCCACGGAACTATAACTCAAGAAGAAATGAAAAACAAGCACGACTGTGAGACATTCGAAAAAGCAAAACAAGAAGAATCATACATGATTGCCAAATATATACTTTACCTTATCTGCAATAATCCGCAGTTCACATAGGTTGGGAAATTTTTGAATTCATACAACTTTATTACTTTCAGATTTATTGCAATTGGAAACACATATACATCCATACGCTTGAAAAATAGGAACAAAGAAACAAAATTAGCCACCACAAGAACTTTAACAAGCCAGAAGGTAAAGAATTATATCTATCCATACATTTGCATCAAGTAAAATGAGTTAGATTCTCACCCACAACGAAGAGCCACACAACCAAAGAGTCTTAATGGCTTTCAAATGCGGTGCTAACCATCTCGAATCAACTACATCATACAAAGAATCAATAACAGACAACATTTCAAGCTTAGGAGGACTGATCTCAAACTTATGGATCCCTTGACAACATCCGAAAGCCAGTTTCTCAAGTTTAGGAATACTAATACTAGAGGCAATTCCACTCACACTACACTTAAATTCAACATTGTAGAAAGCTGATGAAGTGACATTAGAAAATATACCACAAGCATCAAATGAATAGAGGGACCTCGAACTTTCAGTTCCTTAATTGTCCTACAAGAGATTAAACAAAATGGCAGCTTATATTCCTCCCCATCAGTATCTAAACATATGTTAAGTTCCTCCACACCATTTCTTGACAAAAAAAAAGACACCACCTATCAAAATCAGACTGCTGTGGCCTAGGATCATCACATGAAATCTGTAGAGTAAATTTCTTAACCATCCCATCACGGAAAAAGAGGATATTATTGATTACGTTCACGAGAGTTCTACCTTCATCATAGCACTCTTCGACACATTGCAAGAATTCCCAATCAAACGTAAGCCGCCCATGCTGCAACCAAACATCATTCCACTGCCTTGAGAGAAGAGCAGTTCTGGCGGCCTCTGGGGGTGCACAAACACCCCAAAATTCTGTTCTTTACCTCTAAGGGCAGCTCACTTATTAAATCTCTACTTGCATCCTGTACGATTTTGAGTCGTCGAGCCATTAAGTTGAAAGAACAATGAGGCGTCGGTCGAAATCGAAACCTAAAATCATTCTATTGTTCAACTGCAAGATTCCATATTTCGTAAATAAAAAGGACATACGGAAGCTAAGAGTTGGGAAGAAAACAGAGATTGGGGAAAAGCAGAGAAACCCTGACCTCTGATGTTTGGTCTGGGCCTTTTGTAGTGACCTCAAACTCCTGAGCTAATGAAACAGTAAAAACAGAAGAAGGGGATAAAGGGGGATAGAAGAAATTTAGGTTAAGAGGAAGAAGATGAATTCTATTGAATCCAAATTTAGGTCTCCAAAAGCATAACCCTAAAAATCCTTACAAACAAGCATAAATATATGAAATAAAATATCTGAAAACATCCAACAAACTTCCTCATTTCTCGCTGGTGCACCTGCTGCTTGTTGTACCCTCCTGAAGCTCAAAACGACGTCGTGTGAAGCTTCCATCTACGGTTATAACCTCCTTCGCTGAAACGTCGTCGTCTGAACCCTCAACTTAAACGACCTCCAACAGCAACTCCAACGGCGTCGTTTAAATAAGTGGAATCAACTCTTTTTGCTTGAAACGACGTAGCTTTGGTCCTTCGACTTCCATTCCCTTTGATTTTTTCCTTAGCTTCTGAACTCAGCTCTTTCCCCTCCAATGCAATCCCCATATCTCCCTTAATTATCCCATATCTCAAGTTAAGGGATGCAACATTGCCCTCCTCTTCATTGGATCCTTGACCCCAAGGATCAAAGTTTGGGAATTGTCTAATGATGTGATGATAATTCTCCCAAGTAGCAGCTTCTTTAGGTAAATTAGCCCACTGCACCAAGATTTCTACATCAGCTGCATTGTTCCTCTTCACCATCCTTTTTCCTATGGCAGCAATAGGCTGAGCCAAAATCATTCCCTCTGCATCAGTGATGGGCAAGTCTGCCTGGGGTTCTATACCTTCTCCCACTCTTTTCTTTAGTAATGACACATGAAAAACTGGATGAATAGCAGCTTCTCCTGGTAGTCTCAGTTTATAAGCAACCTGTCCAATTTTTTCAATAACCTCAAATGGTCCATAAAATCTGGCTGTCAACTTGATATTGGACCTCACAGCTACTGAAGATTGTTTATAAGGTTGAATCTTCAAGTAAGCCCAATCACCCACTGCAAAACTCCTCTCAGTCCTGTGCTTATCAGCTTGCTCCTTCATCCTGGCTTGGGCTTTAGTTAGGTTTTCTTTAAGGATAGCTATCATTACAGCTCTTTCTTTGAACCAATCCTGATCTCCTCCCTCTGTAAGCACCTTGAAGGTTAAATAAGGAGGTGTGTACCCATAAAGAGCCTGGAATGGTGAGCATTGCAAGGATGTGTGAAAATTAGTATTGTACCAATACTCAGCTAGATGTAGCCACTTCATCCAAGTCTTAGGTCTATGGAAAACCATGCATCTTAAATAAGTTTCCACACATCTATTCACCCTCTCAGTTTGTCCATCTGACTGAGGGTGATATGAAGAGGACATGCTCAATTTCACCTGCATTTGTTTGAACAATTCCTTCCAAAACTTGCTAACAAAAATCTTATCCCTATCACTGACAATGTCTTGAGGTAATCCATGCAACTTATAGATGTTTTTCATAAATGAATCAGCCACTGTTTCTGCTGTAAAAGGATGAGATAAGGGCAGAAAATGACCATACTTAGTAAATCTGTCTACCACAACCATTATGACATCTTTGCCTTGTGATTTTGGTAATCCTTCAATAAAATCCATGGATATTCCTTGCCATGCCTGTTCTGGGATAGGTAAGGGTTGTAACAAACCAGGATATGCCACATTTTCTTCCTTACACCTCTGACACACATCAAAACTTCTCACTGTTTGGATTACTTCCCCCTTCATTCCTTTCCAATAAAACAATTGTTTAAGCTTGTGGTAAGTGACTTGCTGACCAGAGTGACCTCCCATAGGAGAATTATGCATTTGATCTAACAGTTTGTTTCTCAAATCTCCAGTGCTTCCTATATAAAGCCTTCCTTTGTTTTTGATTAATCCCTCTTCAATAGTAAAATCTGATTCTGTCATAGGATTAACTAGTTGTTCAGTAAGTATCTTGGAAGCCAAATCATCACCCTCATAACTCTTGAGAACATCTTCCTTCCATAATGGTTTAGCAACATAAATAGCCCTTAATTCAGCCTGATTTTCACTTCCCTTCCTTGATAATGCTTCTGCCACACAATTCTCTCTACCCTTCTTGTATTGAATCTCATAACTCAAACCCAACAGCTTAGTAAGCCCTTTTTGCTGCATTGCTGTGGTGATCTTTTGTTCCAAAAGAAACTTGAGGCTTTGATGATCAGTTTTAATAATGAAGTGCCTTCCACAAAGATAGGATCTCCATTTGTCTATTGCATTGATGATGGACATATACTCCTTCTCATAGATGGATAATCCCAAATGTTTTGGACCAAATCCTTTACTGTAATAGGCTATAGGTTTACCTTCTTGCATGAGAACTGCCCCCATTCCTTTGTAGCAAGCATCTGATTCCACCACAAAATCCTTGTTAGAATCTGGAAGAGTTAGAACTGGACCTGTGCACAATGCCTCCTTCAATTGCTCAAAAGCCATTTCTGATTCCCTACTCCACTGATAAGCATTCTTTTTCAACATGTCTGTGAGTGGTCTGCTTATAGCTCCATAAGATTTAATAAATCTTCTATAGTATCCAGTCAATCCCAGAAACCCCCTTAACTCTTTGATGTTGGTTGGTTTTGGCCATGCCTTGACTGCAATTAGCTTTTCTGGATCAGTTTGTAATCCCTTCCCAGAGATTATATGCCCTAAATATTCCACTTCTTGTCTTGCAAAAGTACATTTACTGAGCTTGGCCATTAACTGATTAGTCCTCATGATCTCAAATACTTCTCTCAAATGTTTCCAGTGGCTTGCAAGGGAAGGACTGTACACCAAAATGTCATAAAAAAACACAAGAACCACCTTCCTGATTAGAGGCTTGAACACATGGTTCATAAGAGCTTGGAAGGTAGCTGGGGCATTAGTCAAGCCAAAAGGCATTACATTAAATTCATAGAGACCTTGATGGGTTCTGAATGCTGTCTTATGTTCCTCACCATGTTTCATTCTCACTTGATGATATCCTGACCTCAAATCCAGCTTAGAAAACACTCTAGCATTTGCCAATTCAGAAAATAAGTCCTCTATAAGGGGTATGGGAAACTTATTTTTAATGGTTATGGCATTCAAGGCTCTATAATCTACACAAAATCTCCAAGAATTGTCCTTCTTTGGGACCAATAAAACAGGAGAGGCAAAGGGTGAAGTACTGCATGATATTACCTTAGCTCTGAGCATCTCATCAACCATTTTTTCAATTGTGTTTTTCTGCAGGAAGGAGTATCTATAAGGCTTAGAGTTCACAGGATTTGCCCCTGGTACTAAGGGAATTTCATGATCAAATGGCCTTCTGGGTGGTAGTGTCTTGGGATCTTCAAACAACTCTTTAAATTCCCTTAGCAAGGCATCTAACTCAGGGTGATGCCCCTCAGCCAGTAAACTTCCATTGATCCCTTGCAGTTTCCCTTGCAACATATATCCCTTAATCCCATATTTTTCCCACCTTCTAACCTCTTTCTTTGAAGCTGGTTGTAGTACAATATTCTTGGTTAATCCCTTAAGCCATACTCTCTTCCCTTACTTGTGAAATGAAATTCCAGGTGGTCTAGTGTGTAACTGTATGGGTGCATAACTATCAATCCAATCCATTCCCAGCACTATGTCACATCCACCCAACTTAAGGACTCTCAAATCCTTTTTAAAACTCTCCTTCTGCACTTGCCATTCCAAGCTATTACAAACAGAATCACATTCCAGTTTGTTTCTCCATTTGCCACAGTAACATGGAGAATATCAGCCTTATTAGCAACCTTCCCAATCTGTTCAAGAAGCCTAGGGTCCACAAAGCTGTGGGTACTTCCATAATCCACCATTATAGTCACTGCTTGTTTCCCAATCAAGCCTAACAACTTGATAGTATTAATCCCCTCTCCTCCAATAACTGCATTTAAAGTCACCTCTACTTCATCTTCTTCTGTTGATTTTTTAGGCTCATTTTCTTCTTCCACAACCCCACTAAATTCCTCTTCAGTGTCCTGGAATTCAGTCCCCTCTATAATGTTAAAGGTGGGGCTTCTACATTTGTGTCCTGGACTCCAAGCCTCAACACATCTGAAACATCTTTTCTGTTCTCTTAATTGCTCTCTGAACTTACTAATCTCAGGTGTTCTAGCATTAGACTGGAAGGTATTGGAGGCTGAAGTTTTGGGTGAATTCTGGTTAACTGAGGTTCTAATAGACTCCTTAGGTCTGGAGTTATAGGTTTGTGTTGGGAATTGATTTCTCTGGCTACCTTGGGAAGTTTTTTGGTTAGGGTATGAACTTGTTCTCTGAGGTTCACTCCCTTTTAATCCAC